TGTTCCGTACTGCTGATGATATCCAAGGTAATAATGCACAGAGTGAACGTTCTTGCGGAGATGATAATCTCCCCGTTCTACCCCTTTCGTGCCAACGTGAGTGTAACCTTTTTCTCTCAGTGAAGTGCAGTTGTGGGGGTTAAAACCACCTTTGTTTTTTTTTTTTAAACAATATGGCAACCCCACAACTCACAATAGGTATTCGGTGTATTTCGATATTTCGACCCGTTTCAATACCCCACCCGAGGGGTTAGCAACTCGAATTTTATTTTACGTCCCGCGGACCTATCCGTTCGCGACGGCGGTCGGGCCAGGAGTGCGCGGCTCGACTGGCTGTATCGCTGAGACGGAACGATTCGGCGTTCTCGGCGGACTGCTCGGATGCTGCTAGGCAGAGTGGTCGCGGAGAACTGGAGAGGGCATCGTGGTATCTGCTCGCTGCTGAATCTCTTCGATCTCTCTCGAATCTGTTGAATCTGTTACTCCGATCAAATTTTCGCGTTCTTATAAAGGATTAGGGCGGACCGAACACTGAGCGCTCGCGCTCGCTGGCGTCGAATCTCAAAAAGGCCCCCTAATCACTCTTGTGCAAAAAATGATCGTTTTTGATATTCTTTGATTTTGACGAAACTTGGCACGATTGAAGATCTGAACGTTCTGATTCTGAATCTGCAGTTACTTTTTTCCTAACTTGTCGTTTTCGAAAGTTATAAAGCGCGGTTCGCGACACCTCCCCACCTATTGTGAAGTTGTTTTGGGTGCGTTTTTACGCAGAGCCTTTATTTTCACAATAATAATGGTTTACATAAGGTTTCAGTCGCATAATGCTTACAAACCCTGCAAGAGAAGAATATTCACAGAAATCGTTCAATTATTACAAAAATGGTATACATTTCTTATCAGTAATATCTTACAATCGTTGATTACCTCGTTGCAAAAGTGCGTTCGGCACTTCTATTCAGCAATGTGTTATAATCGTTAACCAAGTAGTTGCAAAAATGCACTTGGCATTTCTATTCAGCAATGTCACATAATCTTTGATTCAGTAGTTGCAAAAAATGCGCTCGGCATCTCTATTCAGCAACTTTACTAAAATTGACCAAGTAGTTGCAAAAATGCGCTCGGCATTTCTATTCAGCCACTTTACCTTGGTACACGATTTCTCCTGAAATTAACCAACAATTTTTGGTTTCCTTAAAACTACCCTATCACGGAACTATATACAACAGTGACAGGTGCTCTGATACCTGTCAACTGCAAGGATAAACTATATCTAATATTTTACAAGTGGCTTCTACTCCCGTGAGTAGCAATCTGGTTGTTGTCTATCTCACGGTTTCCAACAAAGTCCGATTGGAACGGAACCGCGGTTTCGCGCACACAAACGCACTGTTCACTGCACGGTAAACTAGGGCTTATGTTACAACGTTATTACAGTGAAAATCAGAGCTCTATCGCGGAGATACGTGGTGATAGTGTATGGTGGGCGTGAAAACCATTCAAAACACTTCATACTCCCCCCCTTCGGATAGTTGCATGGCTGGTTGGGCTCGACGTGTCCAACTTGAAAAATCGAGATATATATATAGTTTTCATCACTAGTTTAGGGTGAGAACGGAAGATCTTCAGGGAGAATGTCTTGAGACTCATCCTCGTCCGGACGTGGAATGAGGATGTCTCGGGCCCTAGAGTTTATTACTCTATATCGGGTTCTCGATGGTCTGAGGTCATCTACGTGAAGTTGTGCAACCCCATTATCGTGGAGGACCTCATACGTGACATCATCGAGTTGTTTCACGACTTGATATGGACCCACCCATTTCTTTGCAAATGGTTCATTTCGACGTTCGCGCATCATGACCTGGTCTCCAGGCTGAAATGAGACAGCGGGGGGGTCAGTAGCGTGCGGGAACAAATCCCTGGCGTACACAATCTGCTTTCGGCGCGCGTCCTCGCGCTTTCGCCGAAGTTCAGCCGTCTGCTGGGCACGTTCGACTTGGAAATTGGGGTGTTTCCATTCGCCGGGCCTAGGAAGGGTGTAGCCAGTGACATACTCGGCCGGGGTGATTCCCGTGGCGAGATTCGTCCTGTTTCTCAATGCGAAGAGTATGCTATTTAAGTCTCTTTCCCAGCTCGTGGGCAGTGTTGACGACATCACTCTAGCTCGTATTGCCTTTTTCAACTCCTGATTCCGTCTCTCCACCGGATTCGCTCTCTGGTGATATGCCGATGAGATACGGTGTTCGATGCTGTTCTTTTCAAGATACTCGACCCACTGTCTACCTTGAAAAGTGCTGGAACCATCTGTGATCACGAGTTTTGGGTATCCCCATCTCGTGCACATGTTATGCAAGAAACTAACGGCTGTTTTTGAGACTACATCTGGTTTGGGTTCGGCCTCTACCCATTTACTCGCAATGCAAGTACCGACAAACAGGATCGTATTTCCTGTTTGGGTCCTCGGGTAGGGCCCCATGGGATCAATACTGATGACTTGGAAGGGTCCTTGAGGGAGAATAGGCCTCTGGGGGGCGGCTGGCTGTGCCGCGCCTGGTTTCGTACAAGTGCAAACTAGACAAGCGTGTACGAAGCGTTTCACTAGGTCCTTCAGACCAGTCGCGTAGTACAGTCTAGTTGCTGACTTATATGTTTCCAGTACCCCAGGGTGACAGGCATCCTCATGATCGTGGAATCTATGGATTAGTCGGGCAAGCTTATGTTTCGGAACTACAAGCTGCCTAGCATGACTACCCTCCACGGACGATTGTTTCCACAAAAGATCATCCTTAACCTCAAAAGAATTCCAAAGTCGACTCTCCCATGGTTCCAAACGTTCTCTTTCCTCTGGTGTCAACGACCTTAGCATTTCCCAATGACTTACCGCGTCCTTCACCTCAGGACAGTCTTGTTGGGAAGCTGCAATTTCAGCGAACAGATCGTCGCGCTCGAGAAGAGAACACGTTTGCGGACTAGCACGATCTGATTCCTCATCAGACTCGGTTTCAGGCGTTTCCTTATAGTCCGGCACCACTAAACGGCTATCATCCGGTTGTTGGCACTGTATATTGGCCGGGTGTCGCGACAAGTAATCCGCCAACTCATTGTCCTTGCCTTGGCAATGATGGATCTCAAATGAGAATTCTTGCAAATGAAGAGCCCACCTCGTTAGCTTAGCTCGTTCATCCTTGAACTGGTTTAGCCAAACCAGAGCTTTGCTATCGGTTACAAGATGGAACTTTTTCCCTTCAAGATACGGCTGGTACATTTTACATGCCCATATAACCGCCAAGCATTCCTGCTCATTTATGTGATAGCGCTGCTCAGCTGGCTTGAATTTAGCGCTGGCATAACTGATCACTCTCTTTTGCCCGTCCGCCGATTTTTGGTATAGCACGCATCCCATGCCTTGCTTAGAGGCATCAGTTTGTATCCAAAAGTCTAAGTCGTTCTTAGGCCTGTACAACTGTAAGGGTTGGGTCATACTATCCTTCAAAGCTTGGAACGCAGCCTCAGCTGCCTCGTTCCACTTGAAAGGGTTTTTGGTGGAAGTGAGGTCTGTAAGAGGGCCGGAGATGTCCGCGAAGTTCGGTACAAACTCCCTCAGCCAATTTGCCGTTCCTAGGAACTGTCGCAACTCTTTCCTTGTTTTTGGTCGTGGATGTTCCGTTATGCTGGCTAAATGACAGGCTTGGGGTCGGTTTATCTCCTGCGAGATTACAAAACCTAAATACTCCAATTCTTTCGCAGCAATTGAGCATTTCTCGATGTTCACCGTCAGGTTATGCGCCCGAAACCTTTCCAAAACGAGATGAACGTGTTTTTCGTGATCTTCCCAATTATTGGAATAGACCAACACGTCATCCAGGTAGATTTTCACGAATTTATCGATATAACCTGCCAACACTTCTGCCATGAGCTTGGTGAAGGTGGCTGGGGCATTTTTCAGCCCAAACGGCATCACCGTAAATTCGTACGCTGCCCCGTCGGGTGTCACGAAGGCCGTCATATGAGCGGCTCGTTCGGACATCTTCACCTGCCAATAACCAGCTAACAAATCCATAGACGTAAAACATTTCGCCTCTCCCAAATCCCGAATGGTTTCGCGGATATTGGGCATTTGCGTGACTTCATCTACTGTTATCGCGTTCAGCTTCCGGTAATCCACGCAAAATCGAACTTCCCCATTCTTCTTACGCACCAAGACAATAGGCGACGCGAAGTTGGAATTGCTGCGTCGGATGACTCCCTTACTAAGCATCTTCGCAACTTCTGCCTGTATTATTCGTCTTTTCTCAGGTGTGTAAGTGTAACGACGTTCTCGGACAGTAATATTGTTTCTCAAAACAATATCGTGACGGGCGGTGGCTGTATGCGCCATCCCCCAATCTTCCGTGAAAACATCCGGAAAATTTTGTATCACTTTTGCAATTTCCGGTGGAGTTCCGCTAGGAACTGCAACACTGGTATTCTTACGACGGGCCTGGTATAACCAACTAAGAGCATGCCGCTTCTCGACCCCCACGTATACCACATGATGCATGTAATCCACTATCGCTTGTTCCGCCAGATGCCAATCTACCCCTAAGATCATTTGATCTTTTAGGTTCGGAAAACGTGGAACGTATGACAAAACCATCTATCTTGAATACTGAAATTCAACTTAACCTTTCCCAAAGTCTGAACGGAACTTCCAGCTTCTGCAAGCTGGATTTCCACGGATTTGCCTTCCACCCTGTATCCTTCTATCACATCGGGGTGTATGAAAGATATGGACGCCCCACTGTCCAAAAGGGCCCAAATCCGTTTCTTCTTCACTTGGGCTTGAAAACGAATGAGTCGCGGACTCGATCGTTTACTCTCATTCGCGGAAAGTGCTGTCACTTTCGACTGGTCGGAGATCAGGTTTGTCAAATTACGTTTCCGTTTTCGTCGCCTTTTCCGATTTGATCTAGATTGACAGAGGTCCGACGAGACGGCTGCTGGCTCAGCCTCTCGCCGATTCAAAAATTTAAAGACTCTGCAATTTCGATTGCATCAAGGTCCGACCGTTCGCGACCTTTGCCCTTTTTCCTGTAGGGTTTTCCAACCTTTGCAGGCCCTTGACTAGGGGAGTGGACATCGACCACCACCTGCTGTTGGATCGGTTGTCCTTCCTTCTGTCGGGAGTCTGTCCTATTGGACCACCCTGTAGATGGAGGATTTCTTGAACCTTTACCCCTATTTTCCATTTTTGCAGCCGCTTTCGCTGAAGGGTTCTGCGGTTTGGAACTATTTTGCTTCGGACGCCCCTCCTTACGAGGTGGTTCAGTCTGCTTTGACCGTCCTTCAGACATAGGACTTTTCCTATCTTTGGTTTTCCTTTCCATTTGGGCAGCCACTCTCTCCGGAGGGTTCTGCCTAGGAATCGTTTTATTATCCGACTGTTTCTGGTGGGTGTTAGGACTTGGACGTTGGAAATTCGTCCCTTTGGGTTGCCTCAGCGGACATTGACTCTGGTGATGGGCTCCTTCGCAAGTCCAACACTTTGGCTGTCTAGGTGGTTGGTCAGAATTTCGTGACTGGCCGACCTCTTTTTTCACAAAAGAGGACTGGGCCGCCTTTCCTCCCAATGCACCAGCTTGCAAATTTGCGTAATCACCCTCGATTTCACTCGCCACGTTGGACAGCTCGGCCAATGTGCTCACTGGCACAGCTCGCAGCATCATCCTTAGCTCCGGTCGTAAAAGTGCTGTCACTTGTACGACGCGTTCACGTGGAGACGTGGTCGGAGCAATTCGTTCGAACAATCCCTCTTTGGCAGCAATAAAAATCTCAGTTGGCTCGGATTTTTGCGTTTCACCAAACAATTTGGCCCTCAAGGCACAATGCTTTTCCGGTGAGTCGAATTCTTTTAAAATTCGCGCACGGACATCGTCGTACCGAATGTTCAAGTGTTTCCAATGAGCAAACAATTTTTCCGCTTTGCCTTCCAGTTGTTCTAACGCTATTTCCGCCCATTCCTCGCTGGGAATATCATATCGACGGAAATAACGATCCAGTTTTCCGAAGAAAACCTCTGGATCTTGCCAATCACGTCCACTAAATCGCGGTAACCTCGGGGGAGGGGACTGAGTCGCGTTTTGATTGATTAAAAGTCGAGCTATCCCCGCCGTTAGACTTTGCAAGTCCCCTACCTGATCCTGCAAACTCTGTGCGACACTGCTGTGTCCACTATGGATGCTCAGGCGGTCACCTTGCGCAGAATATCGGTCCCTTAATAAATTATTATCACCCCCACCATACACTGAACCCCCTAAATCACAAACATTACCATTACAAATATCAATTCCAATCATATCATCAATATAAATCGAGTCATTGTCATGTAAAATATTGTTATGATTCACATTCACGGGGTGTACAGCATTCAGCCGATTTACTCTGGTTATAACACTATTATTGTTTGAATAAGCAGGTCTTCCATTACTACCTTCATGGAAGGCCCCACGTTGGGCGCCATGACGTCTACCTCCTATATTATCGTTTAATTTCGATACCACCACGACATCCCCGCGTACTATACACTTCCTGTCGAACCGTGTATGTGCTTCATCGCACTTTAGCTCCACGGTGATGTTTTGGTATCTCTGACCAACACTGTCGGTCGCTTGGGGGTGCGCGCCCACGATCGCATCGCGTGTAGAACGCGTGCTTGCGATCGCGGCACGTCGCACCGCGTCGGCATCCTCGCCTGGGAGGCCGACCTGGGGATTCTGATTCGAATCCAGGTTGTCGATCCTCGGATCGGCGACACGACCAAGTACTTGTTGAGACTCTTGGTTGGAGGAGACGGCAGGACAGTCGAGGAAGGCTCCCTTTCTTGCACCGAGAGCTGGTGCCGGGCTGAATGACTGTATCACCGGCGCGGAATTCACGTCAAGTGGAGAAGTCACACGGAAATCACTAACATCGCACCTACCTTGACCCTGGGCCTGTGTGGCTGAACGGAGGGGGGCTGGAGAAGTCAAGTCTCCTATGACCTGACTGCGATGCGTGGTCCCTGCAACTTCCTCTTTTCTGCATACAGCGTCGACACCGTCATCGATGAGGGAGCGTGGGCGATCCTCGCGCTGTCGTCGTGTCGTCTTTTTATTTCTCGATGTCATCTTCACGGAGCTCGGCCTGTTCCGTACTGCTGATGATATCCAAGGTAATAATGCACAGAGTGAACGTTCTTGCGGAGATGATAATCTCCCCGTTCTACCCCTTTCGTGCCAACGTGAGTGTAACCTTTTTCTCTCAGTGAAGTGCAGTTGTGGGGGTTAAAACCACCTTTGTTTTTTTTTTTAAACAATATGGCAACCCCACAACTCACAATAGGTATTCGGTGTATTTCGATATTTCGACCCGTTTCAATACCCCACCCGAGGGGTTAGCAACTCGAATTTTATTTTACGTCCCGCGGACCTATCCGTTCGCGACGGCGGTCGGGCCAGGAGTGCGCGGCTCGACTGGCTGTATCGCTGAGACGGAACGATTCGGCGTTCTCGGCGGACTGCTCGGATGCTGCTAGGCAGAGTGGTCGCGGAGAACTGGAGAGGGCATCGTGGTATCTGCTCGCTGCTGAATCTCTTCGATCTCTCTCGAATCTGTTGAATCTGTTACTCCGATCAAATTTTCGCGTTCTTATAAAGGATTAGGGCGGACCGAACACTGAGCGCTCGCGCTCGCTGGCGTCGAATCTCAAAAAGGCCCCCTAATCACTCTTGTGCAAAAAATGATCGTTTTTGATATTCTTTGATTTTGACGAAACTTGGCACGATTGAAGATCTGAACGTTCTGATTCTGAATCTGCAGTTACTTTTTTCCTAACTTGTCGTTTTCGAAAGTTATAAAGCGCGGTTCGCGACAACGCTGAATTTACCTCTCACATTCATTCGACATTCGTTCTCTTAGCGAGATCGTCGATCAGTGATTGCAAAAGATCGCGCGTATACAATAATCTGTCTCCTCTTCACGACTCGTAAACATGGCAGATACGGAAAACCAGAATTACGCCGCGTCGGCTACGGCTACCGCGAATTCTGCGTCGCCGACGTCGCAGTCGTCTGCGAAAAAGGAGAAAAAACCGAAGAATCCGAGGGCGAAGCCGTCTCATCCTCCTACTAGCGAAATGGTCATCAACGCAATTAAAGGATTAAAAGAGCGTGGCGGGTCGTCTCTGCAAGCTATCAAGAAATACATAGCCGCTAATTACAAAGTAGACGCTGAGAAAGTTGCGCCTTTCATCAAGAGGTACTTAAAATCGTCCGTCGCGTCTGGAGCTTTAGTACAGACGAAAGGCAAAGGAGCTTCCGGATCGTTCAAGCTAGCTTCGTCATCGGCTGGCGGAGCGTCGAAAACTTCATCATCGTCAGCCGCAAAGGTTGGCGAAAAGAAGAAGAAATCCGCGACCGGCTCAAAGAAGAGCGGAACCGTAGCTAAGAGAGCTAGCGGTGCGAAATCTGCGAAGAAGGCATCTCCGAAGGCTAAGAAACCGGCGGTGGCCGGTGGTGCGGCCGAGAAGAAAGCTTCTCCAGCTAAGACAAAGAAAAGTGGGAAATCGGCGACGTCGGCTAAAGCTTCTTCTGCTGCACCTTCTGCAGCGGCTGCAAAAAAATCTCCTTCGAAGGCGAAGAAATCCAGCAAGGGAGCTCCGACCAAGAAGCCAAAAGCACCAAAACCGAAAACGGCGAAGGCTGCAACATCGCCAAAAAGGAAGGCCGCTTCACCCAAAAAGAAGAAATAAAAAAAAAAATTTAGACGTGTTGCAACGTCGTAGATTACGGCTACGTCGGTTCGAGACGTTATATTTATGCGAGAGGATGCTATACGTCCCCGCGGATTGAAAATGGCCCTTTTCAGGGCCACCACTATTACTATAAAAAGGATACAGAATATTTACGAATTAGCAATTTTGTATCGAAATATACATGTACAACTGCGGCTCGTACGTGCGTTGATGTTTTTTTTTTTTTTTTTTTTTATTAAATTCGAGTATTATTCGTTTACGATTAGGTATTTATAAGCAAGTGGTAATGTTAGGCGTCGTCACCATCGATATTTGCTTTTAAGGGTATAAATAAGTATGTATTGTGTTTAATTAAACGAATGAACGTTAAACAGTCGATTGCGTCGTAAGGATATCCCCTTTTTTTACGCTTTCGTTTACCATTAAATAATCCGGTCGGGTCTTATATCAGACGTTATTGCTTTAGTGGTGTATGTATATCACGAATAATCATCTGGTATTCAAGTACCAATAATATATATGTTGCGCGTACGGTGATATCATTATCTTTACTTGATAACTTTAGTGGTTCTGAAAAGAACCGTTTTTATGTTGTAAGTTGTTGTTGATGTTGTTGTTGTCGTCGTAGTTACATATTACTTCGAACTGGTGTACTTGGTTACGGCTTTGGTACCTTCGCTGACGGCGTGCTTGGCCAATTCTCCTGGTAGCAATAGTCGAACGGCTGTTTGAATTTCTCTGCTAGTTATCGTGGCACGTTTGTTGTAATGTGCCAATCGGGATGCTTCCGCTGCGATACGTTCGAAAATATCGTTGACGAAGCTGTTCATGATGCTCATCGCTTTGCTGGAAATACCGGTATCTGGATGTACCTGCTTCAGCACTTTGTAGATGTAAATTGCGTAGCTTTCCTTCCTCCTGCGTTTCTTTTTCTTATCAGACTTGGAAATATTTTTTTGAGCCTTACCGGCCTTTTTAGCTGCTTTACCGCTAGTTTTGGGTGGCATCGCGTTTCGATTTACACAAAAAGTACGATCTTTACTGACACAATATCGTGATCTATAATGGAAAGGTGTGCACACACACACACACCCTCCTACCCTGTGCGGTCCCTCCACCACCCCTGTTCCAGGCAACCTCAAACCCTTGAGGAGTGGGGGGAAGCGCAATCTGCTCCTCCCCCCACTCCCGCCCAAAGGCCTGGAGTGGCGCTGCGTGGTTCAGGCCGCTTGCGCATTCCCCGAGTGTGTGCTGCCGAACGAGCTATCCCCCCTTCCCCAATTTTGCCCCTTTTTCCCGAAATTTGACTCGATCGCGCACGCGTCGCGGAAGCGCGTGGTGGACGTTTCTTCCAACTGTCGGTTCTCGACTTTATGGACGGCCTCTTTTCTTGGGGGTCCTGCGCTGGGGGCTTTTGACCTAAGCCCCTCCTAAAGGTTGGTGAGCCTTCGCTCTTTCCTCGTCGACTGGAGTCAGTCAGTCGTCGTCAGTCAGTCATTTTTGTAAGTCATTCGTCTCCTGAGGTTAGCCCCGAGTCCGTGCTTGACTCTGGCCACCTCAATCGACAGGCTTCTTTTGTCCACCCGTTGTACACGGGCTGTTCTTTCCCCTCTTGGGTGTACAACTATTGTCGGTCTTCTCCCCTTTTCTTTGGCCTCATCAGCTGCTAGGGCCAAATATCTTCTTGTTGCAGCTGGCTTTTCGGTCTTTTGTGACGCCTTATTGTTCTTGGGTCGTAATCCAAGGCGTCTCTAATCAGCACGTTTCGATGTCTTTCGTTCTTTTCAAAGAACTTTCGGGCCCTCTCTTTCATCTGGATTACGACCGGTACCTGTCGTAGTTCGTCATATAGCACTCTGTTAGGTACATACCACGGTGCGTCCACCGCTTCACGGAGTGCCATGTTTTGTTGAGCTTGGAGCCTCTTCTTCATCGTTTTGGAAACGTAGCCCCAAGCTACTGCTGCGTAAGTCATGATTTGTAGCAGCACCATCTGAATCATGATGGTCTTATTCTTTAGTGACACTTTGCTTCTTCTGCCCGTTAAGGGTCTTAGTTTGGAGCGTGCCATCTTCACTTTCTGCACCCGGTCTTCGACATGGTTCTTCCAAGTGAGTTTTTGGTCCATCTTGACTCCAAGGTATGTGCTGGAGTCTTTCCAGTCGACCTCAACCTCTTCATCTCTTCTCCAGCCTCTCTCCATTCTGGTGGTCGTCATCTTTATTTTGGTCTGAGGTAATCTTCGATTTCTTCGGAACAGTACCGCTTCGGTCTTCTCGGGGTTGAGGCGGATCTTCCACTTGATGCACCATTCCTCTAGGTTGGTGGTCGCTCGTTGCAGATATTCCGTAACCATGCGGGGTCTCGTACTTCTGCCGCATATGCTGTATCGTCCGCATACACATACAGTTGCGTTTGAGGAGTCTTCGGATGTCCGAGCTGTAGATTGCATACAGCAGGGGTGATAGAACCGCTCCCTGCGGTACTCCTGCCTCCACAGTCCTCGTCGTCGAAGTTGTTTACCGATCCTAATTCGGAATTTTCGGTGCTTCAAGTAGGACTTCACCAGTTGGATCATCCCCTTTGAGTATCCGAGGTCTACCATCTTGTAGATCAGTCCGTCATGCCAAACAGTGTCGAACGCCTTTGCGGCATCCATGAACACAGCTCCCACGGCCCGCCGAGTCTGGAACGATTTCGTTGCCATCTCGACCAGCCTTAGGACCTGGTGCTCTGCTGAATGCTCGCATCGGAATCCGAACTGTTCGTCTGGAACTACTCGGAGTTCTTCGGTTTCGTTCTTCAGTCTTCGTTCGATTACCCTTTCCGCAATCTTGCTCAATGCCGTCAACAGGCTTATGGGTCTGTAGTTTTGGGGGAACCTTGGGTCTTTTCCCAGGTTTAGGTATGTTGATCACCTCGGCTACTTTCCAGTGATCTGGAAAGTACCGGTGTGTCTCAGAATGGCGTTGACAATGTTGGTAATTGCCATTATCGTTTTCCTCGGGAGTCTCTTCAGGACTCTGTTCCCAATTTCGTCTACACCCGGTGCTTTCTTCACCTGAGTCTTTCGATGATTTCCCTTACCTCGCCTGGAGAGGTCAGTCTTCGATGGCTCTTCCTCCTCTGACAGCTCTCCTCGATCTTCTCATCACCCGCGTCGATGAAGTCTTCGTCTTCATCGGGGGTGAGTATTGGAGTACACTGTCTCTGAAGTTGTCAGCAAAGCTTCTGCCTTCTCTTCGTTGTACACCATCCCCTGTTCGCTGTGTATTGGGGGGATGGGCTGTCTTCTGTTTCTGAGGATTTTGGCAAGTTCCACATTCCTGGGTCAGCTGGAGATAGTTCGTCGAGTTTCTTATCCAGGTGCTCTGA